TGCAGCCCTGGGCAGCTTCATACTCCTTTCCCACAAGGGCACACTGCTGGCATCTACCAGGAAGCCCAGGTCCTGCCCTGCAGAGCTTCTTTCTAGACTGTCTTCACACTTAAATAATACATTCAGCTTTTTCAAGTTGCCTTACTTACAGTTACACCACTTGTTCAAGCGCTTCACTTGTCTGTGCTCCACTTCGGAACATGTTGCTTGAAGCACAAGAGAGAAGCAGCTATTTAAAAAAAAAAGTGATGGTTTTGCACGGTTGATGGGGTAGCACCAGGTTACAGCTGGACAAGCAACTGGTAAAGCAGAGGGCAGCACTGGTTACCAGCTGACAGCCCTCTCCCATTCCTGTGCTGAAGAGCAGCAAAAGCCAGGACACAGGGTGTTGTATCAGCCATGCTCTTGGCAGTTGATGGCTGGGCCTTGGCGATCTCGGGCTCTGACTTGACCATAAAGAGTCCTTTGGCTGGTGAGGAATTATTCAGGGTCACCTGCGAGAGGTAAAAAGACTGGCAGGAATGAGACATTTAGAGCACCTCACAGGACTGGGCCTTTTCACCATTAGCTAGGAAGAAACTGGGATTGGGAGACTTAGGCGAGGCTTGTGGCTTTCTTGGTGTTTTTTGGACAAAGCAGTCGGCACAGAGGGAAGCTGTTTGTGACTCCCAAGTAGGTTTAGGTCTGAAAGATGTGTGGCAGTTCTGGACATGTACAGTAGCTGAACAGAAGGTTGGGGAATAATAGATTCAGGGCAGCTGAGACCCAAAAAAAAAAAAAAAGCCAAACAAAAACCCCTGTGCACCGTGAATTATTACCACTAAATCAACTGTAACTCTTTTAAATTAACCCAACCTCTTGTAATGGACTGTTTCATGAGCTGCAGTTAAAAAATACCACAACTTATTTTTTTTTAATCAAGATCTGAAGCTCCCTTGCACGTGCTTGTGCTCTTCCAGGCATGGGGGCTGTTGAAAGCAGAATTTCCTTCCCCTGTCACACCTCACGTGCTCTTCCAGGCATGGGGGCTGTTGAAAGCAGGCAGAATTTCCTTCCCCTGTCACACCTCATGAGCGGACACATTAGTATATTTTGTCACTCAGCTCCTGGGAGCCAGGTTAGCACCACCAGCCCCAGAGCCACCCCCATTTCACAGCCAACCTTGCCTAAGGTTTAGCAGGGCTGGGCACATCTCTTTCTTACTCTCATTCACATTGCGTTTTCCCTGCTGGTGGGAGAGGACTTGAGGCCACAACCTAAGGAGGCACTGTGGGAAACTTACTTGATAGAGGGGCGTGGGGGTGTACCTGTCATCAAAGGTCAAGTACAGGCAGTAGGGGTAGTCACCTTTAATGCCGTGATGCCGTAAGGCTGAGAACGCTGTTAAGTCTCTTCCAAAATGCTACACCTGCACAGATCTTCAGTCTTTGTCTGCAAGCAGCTTTTAACTTGACTTTTATTTATTTTGCAGCCTCTGTTGGTGTCAGGTGGATGATAGGCGTTACAGAAATTAACAAGGGCTCCACCTATGGCAACAATGACAACAAGCAGAAACAAAAGTAGTTCCTTCAGAGACTGCTTCAATCCGAAGGGAGCAAATGCAACTGCTGAAAACTCTTAAGTGCGTATCATGGTCCTTCAAGCGAGATCAGAGGAAGGGTAGGATGAGCAATTCCCATGCATATCTGAATTTGTGCTCCTGTTATTTTTCTCTGGGGGTTTTTGCTGGATGTCATTCTTGAAAGATGCACTCCTTCGTATATGCTTCACCACAGGTTTGCATTTGTTTGGTTGGTTTGTTTTCCTATGAAGTGTCTTAAGTTTTGAAGAAAAAAATCCAATGATGTGCTTGTATGATGAGACTCTACCTGGAAACTAACCAGAGGTACAGGCTTTGTCTTTCTTAACTTGCTCTAAGGAATGGATAAGCATCAGAAGATTGTTACAAGATGATTAAAATCAGTAGTTGTGTAGATCACACGTTAACAATTTAACAACCATAATCTGTCAGTGTTTAAATACAGTGAGATGCCCTGCGTGGTTTTACCAATATTGGACTGAAGAAGCTCTGCTGAACTGGCAGACTTGAGTAGAGTTTTTCTACATCTATACCTTATTCCCACAGTGCGCAGCACCACATGGGCCCTTTAAAACTTCAGCCAGACCCTGGCTACAGGCCCACTTTGTTAGAGCAGAGCCATGCAGGGGCATAACCTGGAGTGGAATTTGGCCTTGTGGCCTGGGCTGAGCTACGTTACCCACTGCCACATCTTTCCCCAGGCAATAGATCAGAGGCATAGCTGAAACCTGTAATTCTTTTGAGAGTAAATGCCAGTTATAGTTTGGAAACACTGAGGTAATAAATTCCTTTCAGCTTTAAACACTGATTAAGATTCTAGGCCTTCGTAACAGTGGTGGAAACAAAACAACTGGGTATGCTGTAACTAGGTAATGCAAAGAGTGCATTAAAAGTTATGCCCCACACCCATACTGTTGTGATCCCAATTAATCTGCTTGTCTGTCTTTTCTGATAAATTAGTCTACACGGTGCCTCATAACAGTCAGCCGGAGGTAATACTTAAATTATCTTTTCGCTTTTCTTTTGGGGAGAAGAGGGGGAGTAGGAGAGACACCTGGGACAGTGGTATGGCTTAGAGTTCTCTGTGGCCACCTGGCCTTGCTTTGAAGCCCTTCTGAAGTAAACAGGTCTAGAATCAAGTCCCTTGGGAAAACCATGTTGCTCTGACATACCTGGTACTGATTCCAGGGCATCCTCCTCTTGGTTTTAAACTTCAGGAGTTAAGGGTATGCAAGTTAACAAAAAGAGCTTGTTGAAAAAAAAGGAAAAGAGGGGACTTCCAACTACCAGAAATTATGACTGAAAACCCCCCAAACTTTCAAAATCTAAAGATACCGATACTAAGCAGTGGGGATTATGACTGACACTTCCAATTTTCATTGCACAGAGGACTAAACCACGACGGTCTAGGAACAAAGAGCCTGTATGGCTCTAGAGAAGAAAGTGAGCAGTCTTAGTTCTAGCAGCTGGTATAAAAAAAAACCACAACCAAAACCACATTTCTCTTTTTCTGTGCTAAAACTGAGGCCAGAAGAAAACAGGCTAATACAACAGTGTATGAATCATGCCATGAAATACACATTTGCTGCTGAGTACACCAGATCATCTAGAAATGCATCTTTTTAATGTGCAGCACCTAAAGAGCAGGTGTAGGAGTGCTTTTAGCCTGGGGCAGTGAGTAAAGTTTTTTAAGAGTGGAGGCAGTAAAACACGCAATGTGGAGGAAGAAATAGGCCTTGGGAGGTGTGAGTGACAAGTCGGGGGGGCTGTTTTCACCCCCTGTCTTGCCTATACATGCATTCCCTATGCTCTGAAGCTTTCTGGAATAGGTTGTATGATGTCATGCTTTAGTGTAGTTTTTCAACAGGTGAAATAAATCAAGCCCGAGATCAGAGAACACTGCCATGCTTACAAAGCTATTTTCTTAATAAAGTACATGCCCTGCACCTCTATTTGCTGAGACAGTCTCAACAGTGGAAAACTGTTATCATCTGTAGCAGTGCCCAAAGGTCCAGCCATCCCCTAGTAACGCATCGGGCATGTGAATGAGCCAGGCCCAAAGGCACTGTACACCAGACTTTGGAAACGGGTGGGGGCGCGAGAGAGAAAAGATCTCTCCCAGCGAGCAGTTTTAGCATTTTACTGCAAAGCTTACCTGGCAGACACAGCAGGCGTTCCTCAGGGTGGTAAAACCCTATATGCAGAGGTGAGTAGTTCTGAGCAGCAAATACATATTCATGTCGTGACAGAGACAGGCTTTTTTGCCTTTTTAAAGAGCCACTGATTGAACGTGCCAGTAGGGAGAGATTTAACATTCTTAGGAATCTTAGTCCTTTCCTCCCCAACTGCATGCAGTGCCACTTCTCCCAGAGGAAAATACCAAGCATGTAAATACTTCTGAAAGTGTATTGAGACTATTTCATACCCATTTCCCTGGGACCAACCCTTCAAACAGGCTGAGGACCAAACACGCCACTCCTGGATCCATCATCCTCCTAAGCACTTCTAGAAGTCCTGGCGCCCAAAGACTGTGCCAGTCTGCCCTTCCAGCATTCACTGGCAAACAGAGAAAGCTTAATGGTACTTGCCAAAGTTAAACTAGTCCAATTCTCTGTATTAGAAGAATGACACGTGTCATCAGGAAGCAGTGTTTGCCCCTCGTCCCCACAAGCAACTGTATGTTCTACAACTGCCTTAACAAAAGTAGTCTTAACATTTGTTTATACAAAAATAAAAGTATAAAAAGCTGATGTGCAGTGAATGAGTTTTCTTTGGGTCAGCAACAATGAACTACTGACACTTCACTTTTCACTCTTCTCCTGCCTCCTAAAAGCTGTCCATGGTTCCCGTTTGTGTACAAGGGCACCCGAACCAAGGCATGTGAGGACACAAACCCCTCAGATACTCGGCTACACCACACCCAAGCGCATAGCAGGGCAGGGGCAACACTTACCTCAGGTACTTCCAGAGGCAGACAATGTACTTCCTGTGCTATCATAACTGAAAACAGAGACCTGAAGGGAAGGGAAAGGCTTTGTTTAGACTCAGCATTGTATTTTTTGAGAGCCTCGATACCCTGCACTTGTGACCCGCACAGTGAGGCTCTTGCTTTTCTAGATCTAAATGTCAGATTTTGCAATACCTTCTCAAGAGCTCACCCAGCTGTTGAAAGCTACCCCACACCTATAACAAACCAAGGATTTGTGGATTAAGAGGAGAAACAGGACTTTAGGTAAAGCCAAAAATTAAAAGCAAGTCCTCTGCTTTGTAAGTAAGTTACCCATCTTAAGGGCTAAAGGTGTAACAGGAATATGTAAACTTGCACTAATGCTTACCAGTAACAATTTTAAGTAAGTCACCTGTTTGTACTAACAAGCCAAACAACCTAAAGAAAGAGCTGAAGTGTTGCAGAGTGTTTCCTCTAATCGCTAACCACTTCTCTCTGTTTTCCGAGCAGTCAGGGGGTGGGGGGAGAATCAAAGTCCAGGATCAGAAGCCAGTTTTAAAAAGCTCTTAACAACAAGTTCTTGATTTTGCCAAACAGAACACAAGCATAACCGTAACTGACTCCACTCTTGGCCCCAGAAAGGCCGTGCAGACCATTCCCTGTTTGCAGTGCTCACGTTCAAGAAGAAAGTTATTTCAGCCCATGACTCTATCCCTGATGGAATAGGTCGTGTCAGGAGGTGCTCATCACCTTATTTCCTCGGTAGAGGATGAAATTCTGTTATCACTCTGGCAGTGGAAGAAAGAGGCTTCTTACACATCTTGAACTAGACAAAACATTGACTACTGCAATAGAAGAGAAGCTTGTTCCAGGTAGGTTAGATCAGCAGTCTTAAGCAAGCATTGAAAAAAAAGCTTTAAATGTGACACGACCCCACAAATTTATTTTCAGAAGAAAAACCCTTCACCAACAGCTCCTAAAATAAACCATTTATTGAGAAAAAACTTTTTTTAAAATCTCAATCAGCCTTGTGCATAACAAATCTGAAGCTTGCCAAAAACAAATAAACAAAAAAACAGTAAAAGTTCACAGTCAGTGCACTCAACAAACAGATTAAAAAACAAGGTCCATAACGCCTGGTAACACTACAGCATTTTTCTGAACCTAAAGAGTTCAAAAATACTACATATTAACATTACAGTTCTCAATCAAATGAGAAACAGGAGAAAGGACAAAAAAAGGTATGGTCCATATACAGTAGTAATGGCACTTTCACTGAAACATGCAGCTTCTTCCACCTTGCGGACACTGTCACATGAGCAACGTGTGCCAAGTAACACATACAGGAGCAGCAGAGAAAGTGACGCTCGTCACTTGTGCAGTCTTCGTAAGTTCAACTTTTTATACTGTTTCTCAGCACAGTCTTTATGTAAATATTACATACAGTAGTGATTAAAAGGTATCTTGCCAGAATAAAAAAAAAGGCCAGAGGCTGAGTAACTTCATTCTTCATCTGTGCAAACCTGTGAAAGGGACAAAGGGCAATTCGGTCAGCGCTCGCCCTGCCGCAGCAGAGAGGACAACACAGCAATTTCTGTAGCGCCTTCATTCAGCATCTTTGGAGCTTGCTTCTTTCTCCCTTGTTATACAGGTAATGAATGACAGCTATACAGGTAATGAATGACAGCCACCTATGTATGCATACCGGCGTTTCTACCGCCACCGTGCAACTCTTTAGTGCCTGAAGCAGCGTTCTGCCTCTGCGGTGGATGTGACCTGGCCACAGTTGCCCTGGTGAGAGGGATGGGTATGATGGTCCCGAACACGCCGTTACTGAACCAGAGTGCCAACGTGAGCAACTTTATGCTGGAAAACGCACCCGAATTCAGTAACCTACTGGGCTCCTACTTCTTCAAAAAATAAGTTACTAATACACCCAAATTCGTAGCTGTGAATATTTGCCTATTCTTAAGCAAAGAATTACACCCAAATTCATGCAAGAACTGCAGATTGTTGTGCCAATTGCCAGATAAACATTCAATATGAACTTAACCTCGAGTGTGAACGTAAAAGAAAAGCAGACCCTTGCACTGAAGGACGGTAGAGTTCTCAAGCAGGTGCTTGTTTCACTTTTTATGTTGGGGACCCTTATCTCTGTATCACAGGAGTCTGTGCCCACGTTCTAGGCACACAGCCCTTCAGACCCAATTAACTACCACCCACTTAAAGCCTGACAAGTCTTTTTACTGTGAAGATAACACATCTCAAAGCAGCAGTGAAAGTTTATGGCTTGGTACACACCAGGCTCTTTCAGTCACACGTTTGCTAGCAACATCACACGCACTTCCGAAAAGCTGCTCAAACCTTGTTTTCTGGACAGCATCAGCTTGGTACCAGCCTCCCACCACAACACAGAGCCCTGCGGCACAGCTGCAAATGATGAAGCCAACTGAAAGCTGTTCCTGATTCCCACCTACAGTCTTTGTAGCCAAAGCCACGAGACAAACCTTGACAAAAGGATGATCGAGGAGCTGGCTGGCCGTCCACCTCATCTTTGGGTCACTTTCCAGGCAGTGGCAAAGGAAGTCTTTCCCTTCTGGGCTCACTTTGTCCGGAATAGGAGGCTTATGGCCCATCCCCACTTTATACATGATCTGGAAGTTGTGCTCGTATTCGTGCCAAGGCCTCTGCAACGGGTAACAGAATCGCTAAGTGCAAGGTCTAGCGAGTAACTTGCTATCCAATACAGTGTATATTGCTGTACCCTGGGAAAATTAAAACCCACCCCAGTACTCGCAGACTTAAGCGTGACAAATTGCTCGGAGCGGGACCAGAATTTGCAGAGAAACTGCTAAGAACAGTTTGCACTCGTTCAGTACACGGAACATCCCTACCTTGCCGGTGACCATCTCTATAACGACGCAGCCCAGGCTCCAGATGTCTGCTGCACGCCCGTGCCCTTCTCCTTTAGCTCTAGTAATTACTTCTGGAGCCATGTACGCTTTGAAACAACACATACGATGTTATCAGTTCATACAGCAGGAGGAACAGTACACATCAAGTGATTTGGGCTAACCAAATGCTTTTTAATACATCTGTAATAAATTGCCACTCAGCTTTTCTTGCTAAGTTTTGCTGTCTGCTTGTTCTTTGACACGTTTGTAGTGTAACTGTCTTTCAGATTGAAAAGTGATAGTGAAATGCTGGTACAGTACATGCTTTCCGTTACTTTCTTTTTTTTTTTTTAAATAGGTTAAGCAGCTGTTCAGTAAGAACAGTGCTGCTTCAGGAGGGCTGAGGAGAAAGATACGACCCCAGAAAACACAAGCTCCAGCATCTTTACAGTTACCAGACAAGTACAATTTTATCTTTCCAGTTCCATCATTCATTGATTGTTTTGGCTTCTGGATGTAAAGCACATTTAACTAGCAATGGTAAAATCAAGTTTCCCTGAAACGTATCATTTTACTCCAGCCCAGGCTTCTGGCAGAGGGATCTTCTTTTATGGTAACTCGACAAGCATCTGCCTAGCACGTGCTTCCCTACCTGCAGTCCCCAGGGTGCTGTTCACTTCTCCGGGCATTGTCTGGGTGTTGTTCTTCAGTTTCACCGAGCAGCCAAAGTCTCCTAGTTTAATCAGTCCAGATGAGGTAAGAAAGATGTTGGCTCCTAGGAAACACAACAAAAAACAGTAGCACTTGTTAAACTAGTGCTGAATTAAGGAACGAGGGCTTCTCGATGGACTCTAGGAAGTTACACAGTAGAGAACAGCTGAATTCACGCTTAGATCTTTACCTGTGGATTAAGCGTGGAATACGACAGCATTGGAGACGCTCCCCAAAGGGTACCTGGCCGTGAGCTAATGGGATTTTTGGAGGGTTTGTGTTAACACTAAGTGTACTGGAAGTTGACAACAAGAAGTGTTCAAAACACAAAGCAGTATGGCAGGCAAACTCATCAGCTTTCCATGCGTGCTCATTATGAAATTACTCCCTCAGGAATTTATGAATGCCAGTGTTTTATCCTTGTGAGCGCTGCACTGCAAAAACCCACCTGTACTTAAGGAGCTTCCTGGCAGAGGCCAGTGCTGCGTACCTCCCACTAGCCATCTTTCCAGTTCTGCTAATTCAAGACAGATGTTATCATACAGCTGTGTCATCAGGGCAGACTGGCAACACGGAGCTTACAGCATTTTATTACACGTACTACCAAACACCCATTCCGTTGTGCTCTACTTCCAGAAGAACTTTGGAAGAGGGCTACTGTTACAATAGCTGGCTGCACCGCCAGCTTACACTGGAACAAGTTTCCCTCGCACAGTTGAAAATCTCCAAGGGGAACCTGCAGTTGGCTTCAAGTCACTTGCTCTACACAACACTGCAAAATAAGCCAAATGGGTTTGATAACCAGTGGTTTTCTTGTGTTCAACATCCTGCCAAAACACATGTTGACAGCCAACAGAAAACAAGTAGAGCAGAAGGAGCTCGCTGTACACGTCAGGCTGCAAGTATCACAGTGAAACCTCAAGTAGGTTACAAGAGTCACCTGGCAGCAATACAGCTTGAGCTGTGACGTCTCTTGAGGAAAGATGAATGGTTTGCACAGAACAAAACTGTGTGCCTACTCTAGGGGTAGGCAAATGCTGGGTGCTTCGTTACACATAGCCTTTTCCTGTGTCACACAAAAGGTTCTTTCAAAAATGGCTCATCTGAATACAACCTTCAAAAGTTTCTCACTTTTGTTCTACCTTGAACGTAGGCCAGTACAGGAATTCTTGGCTGCTCCTCCTTTATGTTATGGTCTCTTAGTTCATGACTTTTTCCAGTTAGCTTGCCTGAGCATCCCCAAGATATTCATGGGAAATAAAAAGAATCCTTGAGAAGCTCAAGTCAAAAAAAGGCAGTGCAGGTCAATGATGCCAAAACCCTGCCCATTTCTCAAAGGGCTTCTCTACTACGAGAATGCTTGATAACAAAAGAAAGATTTATTTCATCCAAGAGGTGTTGCACAGAACTGCACTATAAAAGGAGAGAAATCATTAACAGGAATATATTCCAACCTTTAATTACTGTAAGCCTTCTACAAGTTCTGATAGAATAATTAACTTTCAATGAATAAAACCCTTCTGCACATCACATCCATAAGTTTTCCAGTCCCAGCATTCAGGTGCCTGCACATACTCAAGATCAGAATTCTTTGGCTGGGCTCTGCAGTTTGCCATCAGAGGGACATTCATGTCCAGGGTCACCCTGCAGTCACAGGCACACGTAACGGAGCGGGCTAGACCATCCCTCAGCTCAATGAATGAAAGGGAATCCAGAAATGCACCAAAGCAGTACAAGAAGGCAACTCGATGGGACACTGAATATGGGCAATGCACTACAAGACTGACAGTTACTCGATCAGCAACTTTTTCCTTTGAACTACTGTCCACAGCTTTCCTTTTTCTAATGATTTTCAAGCAGCTCCTTGCCATATAGAAAGTAGATGTACTTAGCCCATACAATGAGCTTAGGAAAAATGGCCATCACCAGCAAACACTTTTACAAGGATGCTTTGGAAACCTACGCTCCCATTCCTCAAGAAAGCAACGTGCAAATTTTGTGGAAGGCTACAAAGTGGTTTCCGATGACTGCAGTGGGTGGCAACTGGCAGAGCTGAAGTGCAACAACCTCTCTTCTGGCCACATCTAAAGCTATTGTGATAGTTTGGTTTAATACAGTTCAGAACCGACTTACAAGGCCTTTCAAAGCAACGTTTGTCCCTTTCAAAAAGTAATGACAATTTAGCATAAATGTTACTGTGAAAGTCTCCATTTCGGAGAGCAAGACCAAGCTCTCTAAAGAGTCCTGAAAAAGGGTCGTCATCTTAGAGGAAACCTGCACAGAATCCAGCAGGACCTGGGTAAGAGAACAGGAGACAGAAGGGCAGTACTTTGGGGATGATTGATCCATTTACCTTTGACAGTTAATGTGACTGGGAACATAACAAAATTCCTACCATATCTGCATGGTTAATAAGCAAAATAAAACCGGAAGCCATGGCTAAAACAGCAAAAAGGCGCAACACACCCATCTGTTCCTTCTCTCCTCCTACACACACACTATAAAAGCATCTTCATTGGATGTACTTGGCAGAGGCAAGAGGTAGCCCCGTTCTGCACAGCCCTGCTGCCATTTATACCACAAGACCTTTTGGGCAGACTGAAAACAAAGAGCAAATGTCAAAAGCCGTACCCTTGCTCAAGAAAGCAATAGCTATGACCCAAAGCATTTAAACTGAAGTTTCGAGCCCTGTACCTCTGTGCCAAGTCAGCCCTGTATTAAGCGCAGTGAAAACTGCACTAGCGTGATATTCCAAAGGTGCTGGTGTAACTACTGTGAGCCTGAGGAGCAGTACCACAAGCCTCACTAAAGACTGTGGCATAATTCCACAAAGGGGGGCAGCTCACAGACATTCCTCAGCCAGCAGTTAAGCAGTGCAGCAGCCAAATTCGTTCAAGAAACAAGAAGGCCAAATGCTACCCTTTGATGAGAAAACCAGCTCTAGCATCCTCTTCTACTCAGTCTCTCAGAAAGTGCAACACGTGCCCATGGTCTCCTGTTGAACAGCCTTCCATCTCTTGTTGAATGACCTCCCTTCCCCTGTGCACATCGTGAAGACATAAAGGCAGGAATGGCAGAGATGTTGAGCTAACAAGTTAACAAGAGGACAACAACGCTTTGAGGAAGACTTCCTGGCCCAGAGCGTCTCATTCACAGGTTTCTGATTTACTGAAGCTTCAGATACAATCCTTTCATTTTCCGTATTCATTCTGAAAACGCAATCCGAGCACTCCTTAGGAATATGCCCTTCTCTCCCGAGAGAAAGCACCCAGCATGACCTCAGTGATTAATGCCTCTCAATTCAGCACTTGTGAGACCACACTTGGAGTGCTCTGTTTTGGTTTTGGGCTCCCCAGTCCAAGGCAAGACACTGACATACTGGAGGCAAACCCAGCAGAGGGGCATCAAGATGGTCAGGGGGCTGGAGCACATGATGTACAAGGAGAGGCTGAGAGACGGGTTTGTTTAGCTTGAAGAAGAGAAGACTGGGGGAGTGTACGGGGGGGGGAATTTATTGGTGTGGGGGGGAATTTATTGCTGTTTTCAGCTGTGTAATGGGAGGATATCAAGAAGGTGGAAACAGACTTTCTCCTCAAAGGCACACTGTGAAAGGATTACGGGGCAATGGACACAAATAGCAACTTCTGCAAATTCCAGGGAGGTATCAGGAAAAAGTTTTTCACAATGGGAACAGATCAGTCCTTGGGACGGGGCCCAGAGAAAAGGGAATCTCCATCCCTGGAGTTACTCGTATCTCAACTAAACAAGGTCCTGAGCAATCTGAACTAATTTGACATTGGATCTGATACCAAGGTTGGCCCTGTTTTGAACAGAGGGCTCAACCAGCGATGTCCAGAGGTTCCCTTCAGCGTTAAATATTCCATCAGTCTTGATCACTGAGCAGAACAGCTTCCTTGCAAAAAGTGACGTAATTGAGGAATCTGGGCTTAGCCACAGGGGTTAAAATCCAATACTCAGAATAGAGATTTTAAAAAGTATCCCAAAAGATTTTATCACCTGCTACATACTAACACCAACTACTTTACACACTGATGCAGACTAATAAAAAACAGTGCAGTCAAGTGTAACAACCAGCCACCGCCACCCTCAGTTTGCTCTCACAACCACGGGTTGAAAAAAGGTTTCGAGGCGGCTGCGCCTTGCTTCATCTTTTACGCTGATAGAACCGGATGCCCTAACAGCATCTGAAAGACAGCAGTGGCACAAGTGGACACCACTAACCGAAAGACTCAATTTTTGAGCACGAGGTACTTGCAGACACCAGCTGCGGGACACCTGGAAACAATTGCTCCAAGAATTGGTTACCTGCTGCTGTAAGAAACGGATCCACAGTGATGTTTAGCAAACTGACCATGAGAGATCTAGCATGATCTGACAACGAGATTTCCACAGGAAAGCAGTTTTAACAGCCTGAATGACCTATTATCATTCTTCCCCATCAGAAAAACAAGAGTACCTGACTACATAAGAGCTAAAAGTAAAACCAGAGTTTTCTTTACTGCTGTTAGCCTGAAAACTCGGGGATGCGATGTTAGCGTAAAAGGAGAGAGAGCAAGAGACTTCCAATGTAACATCAGGCATCCTTTATAAAAATACCCTCTGTGGTCTGTCTTCATATTCTGTCATTAAGTTTTGGGAAGTTCTATACATAGGATGTGGCTGCAGTCACCCTCTGTTTATAGCTGCTGTTACTCAGAAAGAACACCCCAACATTTGGTATGAGGAACCTGTTGCAACAGAAATGCCCTCAGATAACACAGCATTACAGTCCTGTTAAACAGCTCTTCATACTTCACTGCATTTCCCTGATGAGAGGAAGACCTATTCGGAAACATCTCCAGAAATCAGCAATGACAGAGCAGCACAAAAGAAATCCCTGTCAGCTGGCCTTGGATTTTGATCACAACAAGCTTCCAGGAGAGCATAATCCAGCTAAGCAGAACCTGGATATGGAATGGTCAAGTAAAGGGCAAGGAGGGCACTGTGAAAAGCATGGAGGGAAATCCACAACTAGAGAGAAACCTTTGGTCAGGAAGGAGAACCAGAAAAGGCAAGATTGCTGGAAAATGGGAGTGAGGGAAAAGTGTTTTCTAGGAAAAAAAGCCAAAACTGACTCAAGAGTGGCCTACCTGGGTGGGAGGCCTCTGGATCGTAGATAGTTCTTTTCCCAAATCAGAAGCACGAGGCCAAAGGACCAAGAGCAACTGGGAACCTCCTACACTGCTGCGGTGATTCAAAACCCTGTGAGCAAGAGGGACATAGAAACCCAGCATCGTTGGGTTGCACTGCCTTGTCATAAAATGAGCATTCGCAGGGCATATTGTGTGCACCGTTTCCCCTACCTTCCGTTAAGTTTCTGCCATAGGTGAGCAAAATATGCCAGACTAACAAAAACAAGATAACTAGACATGGAGGATGTTCTTGGAAGGCGCAGGAAAAGAAAAATGAATGTGAAATGTGGACTGACATTGGGTGCCTTAAGCAAATGCCAAAACCAACCCCCTTCAGCTACTGTAGTTCCAGTCTGCTCATTTTGTAAGCAAAAGCTGAGAGCCAGGCATGAGTAGATAAATGTATGGCAGAAAAACCCACTAGGTAAGCAATGTTACCAGATCCCTTTAACGTCTTTTAAACATAGTAATAAAAGCCTTGTTAATCAACCATTCGTCTGAAATCCTAAAACTCTTCTGGAAAATGGGAGTCACAAGGAGAAGTCCTGATGCACAACTGCTAGCACTGTACACTGCTTGTCAGCTCCCAGAAACACCACTGTTTCTTGCATAGATGAGGAGAAAACCAGCATGACATAACTCAGCATATCAGCACTAGAAATACAAGAACCAAAATTTGAGTTTGGATGAAGCCCCAACAATCTTAACAACCTCTACAGAAACTATATAAATCACAGGCAGAATTTATGAGTTTGCAATGCCAGCTGAGAACATTTTTTTATGTTCTGCACTTAAAAAGGAGCACGTAACTAGCCAATAACTTGTAAATTGAAAATTGAAAAATGAGCGGAAGTCTTTATACACTTAATGGCTGTATAGATAATGTGTGCTAAATCTGCAAATATGTCCCCCATCACTCCTCCCCCACCCCCCCCAACCCCACCCCATCTACAACACTGAAATAAAAACATTACCTTTTTTGGTTAACGTTACCTTTAATGTCTCGATGAACAATACCATGTTCATGTAGTACATTGATAGCAATCGTGATTTGCTTTGTGTAGAGCCTAATGACATGCTCTTGAAGGCCCAGTTTTGATACCTCCTCCAGAGTGCCCTCATCACAGTACTCCATGAAGATGTACATTTCTTCCTGTTGTGGGAACCAAATCGGATTTCATTGGTTTTAATTTTTTTTTTTTTAAACACTGAATTAGGATTAATTTTTCCTTCCGTCCTTCATTGTTTGTGAAAAGAGTAATGGAAGTACCATGTAATGTTTTAGTGGAAGTACCTCTTACCATGGAATATCTAATAAATCATCTCTTCAGAACTCTATTCTCTTGGGCATGCTTCAACCCAATATATTCTATTGCACAGCTATGGAAACATCTACACTACATGTCTATCTGCATCATTTGTGTGTAACTGATATTACTTGGTGGTATAGAATATGTCACTTTGGCATCAACCAAAAAGCACTCTGGAAATTCTGTAGGTATATTATGCAGAAATGCAAAAAGATCCTCTGCATATATAGATAAATGATAAAATGATGGTTTGGGCTTTTTTTTTTCCCCTCTCTTTCCCAGTTCCTGCAATATAACATGTTGATTGCTTGGGGAGGGCAAGTTTTTTGTTGTCTGTGGCTTGAACAAGCATGCCAACTCTAACTCACTTTGAAGAAAAGTTAGGTTCTTGTTCCCTTTCTCCATCTCCAAGCCCAGCCAATTTCAGCCAGACTTAATTTGTACAAAAGATGGCAAAGGCACTAAGCTCTTAGAACCAGCCTGAGAAACCAATGACTCAGTGACAGAGACAGCCAAAGTTGTGTCCCCAAGCAAAGAAATGCAGACAGAAAGCAGCCTTTGTCCCCTTCTAAACCAGCAATGGGTCGGCAAATCAACCTATTCATATTCAACACATCAGTCAAAACCACACACCGCTTTCCCACCAGACACCAGGCGTCCTGTTCCCTGCCCACCTCACTGAGAAGGAAGGACCCGAGACTCGCAGGGGGAGGTGGGAAGGGCATGTGGGAAGCAGAGAGTAATAAACAGGAGGGTATCTCAGCATGCAACTCTGGAATCCAGCTCCGTAAGAAAACCAGGCTTCGTTAGTTCTGCCGCTCAAGCAAGAAAGCTCATTTTTCCTTCTGAAGAGATGTTAGCTGAATTCCAAGAGATTTGCTTCCTTAAGATACCTGTCTGGCATCAAATTTAAATGCCAGCACATTTTTCCAGGAATCAGCAAGATATTAGTACAACCTTTGCTGCTAACAGTGAAGGGTTTGGGGCTGTCTAGTCTTTATCTACACACACAAGTTACCATACAGTCTATGATATAGCTGGCTTTTAGAGCCATTAAACAGAGTAGCAGCATAGAATAGCTCCAGCATTATTTGCTTCATTCACTTATTGCAAACCTTCTCCGTTTATGTACCAGTTCCAAAAAATTTCTACAAACTATGTTTCAGAGACCTCAACATTCAGAGGAAAAAAGACACACTGCAATTCACAAAGCTATCCAGACAATTAAGCTGAACAAGCATGTTCACAAGTAAAACCTCCATAATCCAAAGCTTCTTAATATTTTCTCCCTACCCTATAAAAAAGTCCCAATAATTTACGTTTTCTTACCCTATGGAGCTCCACACCGAAATAACGGACAAGATTGGGGTGTTTGATGCCTTCAAAAATCTTCAGTTCATCAGCTGTTTCTTTGATGGTTTTGTGATCATTAGGTTGGAATCTTATCTGCAAGAAAGATTTTTCATTATTTTGCCACTATTTCAAATTACTAAGGAACAAAAAAACCCAAAATACCCCCCACCCCAAAACCAAACAACCCATCCTAAACCCAAAGCAAGAAAACAGCTAAAAAGGTTTTGGGGTTTTTTAGTTTGCTTTTTTCTTTTTTTTTTTTTAAAACAGCATCATCACACAGGAAAATACCACCTCTGCATCCCCAAACTTAAAAAAAACAAAAACAAAAAACACCAAACTATTTTTGGAAAATTACATACAAATATGACAATTTATAAACTTCATAGGAGCAAAAATGCTGTCACTTAAACGTATCAATACAGACACGTGTGCACATATATCTCTCTTCCAAGGTTGCCTCCTAGCTTAAACGTGGCAGCTAGACACAGTGCAAGAGAATCTGAAAGTAATATCAGTGAGAGCTGTCATTCAAGAAAGACCAGTTGCCAAGTACTTCATCAACAGGGAGTCTAAGGGATTTCTTTGTGGGGTTTTATATTGGGTCAAGCTACATAGGGATGTGCTTTCTATTGGTATGTAGAAAGGGGTTGATAACACACCAACGGTTTGGCTACTGCTGAGCAGTGCTCAAACAGCATCAAGGCTGTGTCTCCAATATTTCCCCCCCACTAGTGGGCTGGAAGGGGGCAAGATCTTGGGATGGGACATAGCCAAGACACCTGACCCAAACCAACCAAAGGGATATTCCATACCATATGACGTCAGCTAAGATATAAAAACTAAGGGAAAAGGAAGAGGAGGGGGGACATTCGTCTTTCGTGACGTTTTGTCTTCAGGAGGAACAACTATGTATACTGAAGCCCTACTTCCCAGGAAGTGGCTGGACATCACCTCCTAATTGGAAGTAGAGAATAAAATCTTGTTTTTCTCCTTTTGCTACCGGGCACCGCCCTTTCTTTTGCTTTTTTC